ATAGATTCACGCTACTGTGCTTAAATGTATAAAAAATATTTCAGAAGATTCAGGCTAAACTGGCAATTGTTACTGGGAGGGATGAGGATCTTAGGGAGAGGAGGGAGTATAGGAACTTGTATGGTGGTAGGGGTCCAAGGTGATTTTTAACTTATCTGTAATGCTTTGATTTTTTCAAGGAGTTGATATTTATGTATTACTTGAGTAATTTAAATAATACTTGAGTAATTTATATAATGCAACAAAAAGTTGATTAAAAAAACCAACATTAATGATCTAAGAAGGACTGAGAGAAGGGGACAGAGAAGTTAGCCCAGCAGCATAGGGTCTGTTACTGTTTGTTAGTTTACTGAAATTCGCGAGAACATGAGTTGTCATAAATTCATCATGTGGAAGGCCATTCACGATGGGGTCCCCTCCTATTTGTAAGTGAATTGCCTCTGTGGCTGTCCAAGGCTCACAGGCTCCTGGGGCCCATCCCTTCCTCAACAGGAAAAAGGGCTGAGACCTCACTAATAAGACTCAAAGCTACAGTCTAAGAACCCTTGGTCAGAAGAAACTCAAGAAGAAAATAATACATATGCAGTGTAAAGGAATCTTTGTCTGCTTCTTTATTAAATTGTTATATCCACATATTGCACTTTAGCAGCCAAAATGAAGCTCCCTAATGTGGTCTCATGGCAATAATACTGTAAAACAACACAAAATGGCAATAACTCACCAGTTTCTCAAGGTGGAGGTCTGAAATTGACAATGCTTTTCTCAAAAACCACAACTTGGTAAAAGGCACAGCTATTAGAAAACAGATTCTCTTCCTAAATGTCTTGAAATTCATGTCCTTTTTAATTGCCCAGAATTCATGTCACTTGTGTGAAAAAGCTATAAACATACACAATCATAAAAACACACTTAGACATCCTGAACAAAATCAATGCCATATTATTTTAGTTTATTATTCCTTGTAGAATTCACTGGTCTTCCTACTTTGATATTTATTTATACCAAAGAAGCAAAAGAACATAAATGCCACACTTGGGACAGCACTAATGCTAGAATTGAGTAGAATACATATAGCTTCTACCTTAATTTAAAAAACTAAAGCAGTCTTTACGAATCAACCTCACATAATATAGGACAAAGCTGAAGGTCACTGTATTATTCATTTAAAAAGGCACTGATAAGGATTAAAATTAAGGTTCATGAGGTTTGAAGGACTGTTAGCTTGCAAAAAATGGCTTCTTCCTTCCTAACAGGGGATGATAGAGGGGGCGTGAGGGGGGGTTGATGATAAATAGTATAAAAAAGGATATACTTTTTTCTACCCCTCCGGGCTTTGTTATTCATCTCTTATTGGAACCTCTAAGCTCTTTATTCAAGAGGTCCTCTGCTATTCACAACTTTGCTGCTCTTATGAAAAATTAATGATTGCTTTCTCTTCAACAGAAAACTGCCTTATTTTGCAGAAGATTAACAAAGAGGATGCAGTGCAGAAGTGACTCCCTCAGCAGGAGAAGCTTCTCTCACACCAACCCATTTATGGCTGGGGGAAAATACCCTGTTAGTTCAAGGATAGCAAATAAATAGACGCTGTGTAGCCTGGTACAGATGGTAGAACAAGGACTACATCCGTCACAAAAGGGATGTGCCAATGAAAACAGCCTGCCCCCAACAGCAGGCTGACCCCACGCCCTGCTCGCTGACTCCTTTATGCCAGCACCGAGTGCCACGCTGCGTTTGCAAGCTATTGTTCAGCAGGCGGATTTTCTGCTGGGGGTTAACAGGTGAGAGCAGTGATCCCATATGCAACAGCAAGAGCAAAATAGAGAGGATGCTTTTAGTTAAGCTGCCACTGCTCAGCAAACACTTCTGAAAATATCACAGCTCAATATTGCATCATACACGAATGGAAGGGCTGCAGGGTAGGGGAGGGGTGTTTGTTTCAAAATGATTTACCAAGGTAAGGAAAGAGTGCAGAAATGTAAACATAAAATAATGTGGCTTATGTTCGGTCCTACGTATGTATCGGTTTTCATTTTAACATCTAGTTGTGGCCATCAAAGTAATTTCTGGTGAAATTCCACTTTCACTATTTAAAGTCCCACGTTGTTACATCATTTCACATTTTAATTTCATTCAGTCTTTAATGATCACATCTCCCCTAGAGTCCCTAAAGCCAGAGAGGTTATATTAATTAATAGTTTATTAGTAAGGGACCAGGCCTGAAACTCAGCTCTTCCCACTCTGAGCCCAGCACTCCCGGGAAGCTGTGAAAGGGCATTCACACGCCCTGATCCTGGCATCCAGCTAGCCAGGAGCTGCGGGCAGAACACATGAAAAATGCTTGGAAAAAACAAAGGGCCCCTTTCCCTCACACCTGTTAAAATCGCTATTATTAAAAAAGATGGAAGACAAGTGTTTCTCCATGGCTGTGGAGAAAAGGGAACCCTTGTACACTGTTGGTAGGAATGTAAATTAGCACAGCCATAATGGAAAGCAATGTGGAGGTTTCTCAGAAAACTAAAAATAGAACTACCATAGGGCTCAGCAATCCCACTTCTACGTAGAGATTCAAAGGAACTGAACTCAGTGAGCCACAGAGACATTTGCACTTCCGTGTTCACTGCAGAATTCACAGTGCTGTTATGGAAGCAACGAAGGTGTTCATTATTGAATGAATGTATAAAGACAACGTGTGTACACAATGGAATACTATTCAGCCTTCAAAAAGAAGGAAATTCTGTCATTTTAGACAACAGAGATGAACTTGGAGAACATTACACTAAATGAAATAAGATGGACACAGAAGGACAAATGCTGCATGATCGCACTTGTGATTCTCACATGTGGAATCTAAAACATCAAGCTCACAGAAGCAGAGAGTACAATGGTGGTTCCCAGAAGCTGGGAAAGGGGGTTGGAGAGGAAATGGCGAGAGATGAGGGTGAAAAATTTTAGTTAGACAGGAGAAATAAGCTTTAGTGATCTATTGCACAGAATGGTGACTATAATAAATAGTAATGCACTGTATATTTCAAAATTGTTAAAAGAGGAGATTTTAAGTATTGTCACCACAAAAGATAAGTATATGAGGTGATGGACTTTTTAGCATGATTTGATCAATCATTCCACATTGGACATATATATCAAAATATCACATTGCACCCTATAAATATATAATTATTATTTATCCATTAAAACAAAGAATGAAGGCGGCACCCACCTGACGCTAAGCACCTAGAAATGACTGAATTTCACCAACATGTGTTTGGCATGGACACAGCCTTGGCCCTCACAGAGCTTCATGGACTCCTGGGGCAGGCGGAGTCAAACACATTGTCACCTAGATAACTTTACCATCACACTTGTGATGGGCCAGACTTTTGGAGTTGTGGTTGAAGGATATATCTTTTGTGAGTTTTTCTGGTGTTTTTAACTTGTATTTTAAGTGTTTGTAGTAAGAAAGCACTGAACTTGAGTGGCTGAAAGTGTGTGAGGGAGAATCTGTAAAAGATAGTTTTGTGGCCAGGTGTGGTGGCTCATGCTTGTAATCCCAGCACTTTGGGAGGCCAAGGCAGGCAGATCACGAGGTCAAGAGTTCGAGACCATCCTGGCCAACACGGTGAAACCCCATCTCTACTAAAAATACAAAAATTAGCTGGGTGTGGTGGCAGGCACCTGTAGTCCCAGCTACTCAGGAGGCTGAGGCAGGAGAATCGCTTGAACCTGGGAGGCAGAGATTGCAGTGAGCCGAGATTGTGCCATGGCACTCCAGCCTGGCTACAGAGCAAGACTTTGTCTCAAAAAAAAAAAAAAAGATAGTTTTGTATTGATCAGTTGTGCTCGGCACTGTCTGTAATTCATCTATTTTTTGGTGTCACTAATGGCATATGAAACGACAGTTAGAGACGTCAGCTGTTCTTTGACTTGAATATACTTTCCAGAGAGCACTAAATCTACACTGTTTCTCCTCATTTGTAAGAATCTTAAGGTAGTTGAGGGACAATGACTGCTGGCCTTGTAGTGTGTTTTCTCTATGCCAAGCACTGCTGCAGGACCCTCTGATGTGTTACCACTCAGTTCATCTTCACAGCAGTCCATAACACTTGCAATGCTATTTTATAGATAGTCCATTTTGCAGATTAAGAAACTAAGAAACAAAAAAGTAAAGTGGCTTGCCTAAGGTTTCCAGCTAATAGTTGGGAAGGCTGGGATTCAAAGCTGGTAGACTGCCTCTAGTCTGCTATGATTTCTGTCTAAAGACAGATGATATCTAAAATAATTTTTAAACATATGAAATCATTTTCAGCATAATTATAGATAGCAGATCCAAATAACTAGAAAAATCCAGGAAAAAGAGCCATGAATATACGCTGTCAAAGAGTGTGCAAAGAAGAGAAAAATCAATTTTTGCTTTATAAGCTATTACAAAGATTTTACCACTGTCAACATTTTATTGTTAGATATCAAAAAATCATTACCCCCACAACAAAACATTCACAATGATATAAAAATGGACTTTGCTCCTTAAGGAAATGCTATAAATATGCACAAGAAAACGTTTTTCTCTGAGAAATGGCAATCGGCCAATAATTCAGCATGTCACACACGAGTCTCCTCTCTTTTCCTAGAATTTAACACATGACAATTTAACAAGGCTTGTAATCAGTTCAACAAGAATGAGAAAAGAAATTTTAGAAGCCACTATTAAATCTAAAATTTAAAACTTCTACCTGACAAAATAAATCGTAAAAAGGTTAAAAGACAAGCTGTACATAGGGAGTAAATATTTCCAACATGCTCGGTAAGAGGTGACTGCTAACCAGAAATGATAAAGAACTCCTACAAATCAGTAAGATGAGCAACTCAAAAGAAAGCAGCATAATGAATAGGTTCAAGGATTTCACTGAAAAGGAAATTCAAATGGCCAATGAACATGGAAGGATGTTGAACTTCACTAGCAAATAGGGAAACTCAAAATAGAACCACAATAAACTACTTACTTCAGATGGGCAAAATTTTTAAGTTGTTTGGTATCAGATGTTGGTGTAAGTGTGGGGAAATGAGTGTGTTCATACGCTGCTGGTGGGTGTCTACACCATAGCCAAGCTGGAAGTGCTTCAGGAGTACCTAGTAATATCGAAGAGGGGCGAAGTCTATAATCTTAACATTATCTGCACAGAGAAATATTTGCACAGACGCACTGGGGGATATGTACAAGGACATTCACTGCAACATAATTGGAAATAATGAAAAACTGACGCAACCTAAATAACCGCCAGCAAGAAATGAATAAACTGTGGTGTGTTCCTAGAAATTAATAATTATAGAATGACTTCTAGATGTAAATCTATCAAAATACACACAGCTCAAAAATGACAAGTGGAAAGACGCTGCACAACACGCAGTGTGATATCATGTATAGAAATTTTTTTAAAAAATTCCCACATCAACAATATTATGTGCTTTTAAGTATATGTGAATATACATGTAAAAGTTTACAAAATGCACTGAAAGCATACACACCAAGTTCAGAATAATATCTATTTTTTGAGAATAAGGAGAGTTACTGTGATTAAAGTGATAGACAAGGTGGGGAGGATTAAGTCAATAATATGGTTTTTTTTTAAAAAAAGGGGAGAATTAATTCACATAATTTAAAAAATAGTATATACATAGGAAAAAAGACTGACTCAAATATGACAGTGATTAATTCCTGTTGGTGAAGATTTCTTGGATTATTCTTTCCTCTTCTTTTTAAAAAAGTTTTATACATTTTAAATTTTCCAAAATAAAAAAAATACAATAAAAAATCAATAGAAATAGAACTTGTAAATTTCAGCTAAATCTGCAATGTCATGCGCTACCTCTTATGATTAGATTTTCTTTATTTTTATCTACACACCTATGCCCTTACGTAAGGACAAATTAGAGTCAGAACACTTTGGTCGTCCTCCATTTCTTTCAATAAAAAGGAACATAATGTATTTGGATAACTGTTTTTGATCTGACAGTGCTTTGAAATTAGAGAGGCATATGTTTCATAGATTATGGATGGCACCATTTAGAAGACTTCAAATTCATGGGTGGTAGCCAGAATCCCATAAAGATGTTGTATCTTTGGATTTAAATAACAGTTGCAACTAAGAGTTAAATAACTCTGTGCCATTCTTCTAGTCATATCTAAAAAGCACAATAATATAGTGGTTTAGAGCTGAGCTGTTTAATACAGTCACAATGTGTTCTCATTTAAATTGAAATGAATTAAAACTAAATACAATTTAAACTGAGTTCGTGGCTGACAATGTGTTCTCATTTAAATTGAAATGAATTAAACTAAATACAATTAAAAACAGAGTTCATGGTCAGGCACAGTAGCTCACACCTGTACTTCCAGCACTTTAGAAGGCTGAGGAGGGCTGATAAACTTGACATTGGGAGTTCAAGACCAGCCTGGCCAACATGGTGAAACCCTGTCTCTACTAAAAATACACACACACACAAAGAAAAAAAATAGCTGAGTATGGTGGTGCATATCTGTAATCTCAGCTACTTGGGAGGCTGAGGCATGAGAATCACTTGAGCCAGGGAGGCAGAGGTTGCAGTGAGCTAAGATAGTGCCACTGCACTCCAGCCTGGGCAACAGAGCAAGATTTTGTTTAAAAAAAAAAAAAAAAAGTCCTCAGTTGAACTAGCCATATGTCAAATCCTCAATAGCTATTTGTGGCTAGAGGTGACCATATTGGACAGCATAGATACAGAACATTTCCTTCATCACTGAAAGTTCTATTGGATAGCACTGGCTTAAAGCCTGGACTCTAGAGCCAAGCTCCCTGGATCCTGGTCCCAACTCTACCACTTGTGAACTACCTGGTTGCAAGCAATTTTCAAACCTATCTGTGTCTCAATGGCTTCATTTCTAACATCAGGAAAATTGTGAAACCATCCTCACTGGGTTGTTGTAGGGATTAAAGGACTTAATTGACATATACAAAGCTTATATTAACATAATAAACATCATATAAACCACAAGCGCTGATTATATCTGTCAGGTGTCTACCTGATGGAAGGAAGTACCATACGACCCTCATCATCTCTTACTTTCAGGGCCATCGACACATGGCAGAGGAAGAAGCAATGCTCTAGTCATGGTGAGAAGATCCTTGCTCTTCTGGGCCTGATGGCTGCTGTACTGAGAACAAACCACAGGGCCCAGAGCAGGGGAGATACAGACAATGGTGAGGAGGCCACTGTGATAATCTTAGCAGGAGGTGATGTCCCTGGGTCATGATGGTGGCAGTTAGGCAGTGAGAAGGGGTCAGGTTTTGGAGTTGAAGTTATATCCTGACAGACCAGCTGTGGCATATGAGAGAGAGGAGTGAGAATCTGCAGGCTATCTATACAATGCTTGTTCGCTGTCCTTATTTAGTACTTAGAGCCAGAAGCCCAATACAAAGACTTGCATTTGTCACCATGAGGTCGTTGCCAGGATATACCGAGTAAGAATGACACAGAGGAGAAAAGTATGTCAACACATTTTCTTATATAAAAAGCGAAATGATAAATCATATATTTAAACGGTTACTTACAGGAAAAGAGGGGGAAGTGAGGGGATGCTAGATCTTGAATACCTCATTTTGTGGTTTTGACTTTGCAATCATGTAAATATTTTTATAATGACAAAATTAAATTGTTTAAAAAGAAATTCTTAAAAATTTAAAGAAAAATAAAGCAAGTGAACCCAACTATATAAACAGTTGGTGGTATAGCTACACACAGAGGACCTATTCTAAGTAATTCTATAACACAATAATTTGACTGTACATCCTTGGTGGGGTAGATCTGAAAGACAAAGAGAAAAAAATTGAACTCTTTTCTCTAGCCATATTGTTATCACAATTTTTGTATAATTACTCTGAGGCTGATTGTGTGTCATGTGGGATGTAGCAAATCAGTAATTACATTGAAGTTATTTACAATCAGGATTTTCAGCATAGGAGAAGGGATATATTTACAGGTGTGATGTCCATGAAGTAAAGTAAAAACAAGGTTGTCCTGAATTAGAATTGGACATATCAGATTGGATTAATCTTTTTGTTTAAAAATTTGTGTTTTGTCCACTGTAAATAATAACCAGCCCAGAAGCAATGAGCACACTTACTGCTCAGAATGTGGTCTCTAAATAACATTTCCCATTAAAGGAATCAGGAATCCTAAGAGAAATGGCTGAATCCCAGTCTGGGGTGGGATATATACAAGATGAACCTGGAACATACCAGAAAGCAAGGAAGCTATCAAAGACAATTAGGGCCATGTCAGAAATAGTCCAGAGCTGACTTGATTGGGTTCCCACTGGTCAAAGACTGAACAATTTAAATATTAATAAATATAATAACTGCAATCACCATATAAAACATATTTGACACACAAACTCTTAATAATATTAATTATAAAATTAACAAGTACACATTCATTCACCACCTTTGGAAGATGCCAGGAAACACCTCATTATTTGAAAACTGGTATGTACAGGGAAAAATAAATTACATATCCTACCTATTCTGTCTGAACTATACCCCAAGGTAGCCAAATGGAGGAAGAGGAAAATTTTATCTTTACAGAACATTTAAGTAGACAAATGAGAAAAATAGTAATATTTATTACAGGTTGCTGTTTTTACAAAATGTAATTAATGAACATATATAGGCAATAATCATCAATAGCTGTTAATGTCACAAAAATAAAGATTACAAGACATTATGAACTTTCTGATGGAGATATAAAGTACTATGAAACAACCTTGCTGTCCCCTTCCAAAGGCAACCAAACAAGGAAACCCCTGTGTCTGATAAAGCGAATTCACAGGAAATAGAGGAGACACAGGAACAGGTTAACAGCACCGTAAAGAAGCAATCAGAGAATTTCTGACACCTTATAAAATAAACATCCAGGTTTCTTTAACACAGTAACAATGCTAATAACAACAACAAAAATAGGAAAATGAGTGAGGGAGAAAGAGGGAAGGGCAAAGAGGGGAGAGGAGGAGCAGGGGAGATATGATGGGGGATTAAAACAGACTTAAGGAACATAGCAATGAATCAATATACACGGACAATTTAGATCCCAATTCAAACAAACAAACAAACAACAAAAAATAAAATAATTGGAAAAAAGAAGACAAGGAGGAAACTGTAAACACTAAATGTATACCTGGTGATATGAAGCTATATTATTAATTTTTCATTTGTTCTTTCTTCATTAATATTTTTAAGAGCGGCATTATATGCGTTTTGTTTTTTTTTTGTTTTTGAGATGGAGTCCCACTCTGTCACCCAGGCTGGACTGCAGTGGCGCAATCTTGGCTCACTGCAACCTTTGCCTCCTGGGTTCAAGAGATTCTTCTGCCTCAACCTTTCAAGTAGCTGGGATTACAAGCACCCACCACCATGCCTGACTAATTTTTTGTATTTTTGAGTAGAGATGAGGTTTGACCATGTTGGCCAGGCTGGTCTCAAACTCCTGACCTCAGGTGATCCACCTGCCTTGGCCTCCCAAAGTGCTGGGATTACAGGGGTGAGCCACCCGGCCCAGCCTATGGTTATGTTTTTTAAAGAGTCTTTTTATTTTTGAGATGGGGCTGGAATATTTACAGATGAAATTATGAAATGTCTTGGACTTGTTTCCAAATAATCCACTATGTGTGTAAGGGTGGGCAGGGGGAAGAAGCAGGTAAGAGTATAAAGAAAAAAAATCAGCTCAGGAGTTGATAGTTATTGAGGTTGGATAATGGTATGTAAATATTTTTCCTTATAATTTTGTTCCTGCTGTGGTAACTGCCTATTCTGATTAGGATTCCTCCTGGATCCCTCCCCTCCTCTCACCCCCACATCCAATCCTTTGGCAGGTCCAGAAAACTCAACATTTAGAGCATGTCCTAGGTCTTCTCTACTCCCTTCTCCCAGCTGCTATCCTAGTCTCAGCTGGACCATATCAGTAACCTCTAACCAGACTTCCTGCCCCATTCCTGTCACAAGGAACAAAGCAAGTGTAAAGAGAATAACTTCATTTGAACTTGAAGGGTGAGAAGTTTGCCAAATCATCTGAGGTGGAGGCATTCCAGGCAAGGGGACATGGTGGTGTCTATCAGCACCACGTGGTTGGTGTGGAGAAGGCAAGCAGCTCCCTGTGACTAGAGTTCAAGAAGCAATGAGACATAAGGCTGGAGAGCAAGACACGGGATGAGGGACACAATGCCTTGAATGCCATGTTATGTTTCGCTGTTAATCCAAGGACAATAGCCAGTCATTGGGGAATTATCTACAGAAACTGACGTGGTAAGATTTGCACATTCAAGAAAGAACTCTTGGGACAATTCAGGGGAGGTTGGGCTGGAGGTTCCTAAATTTGGAACTCAGAGGCCAATTAGGAGATTACTGCAATCCTTCAGGCGAGACAAAATAAGTGACTGCACTAGCATGATGGCAGCAGGAATGGAGAGGTGGGCAAGGTATTTGTTGGGCAAATCGGTGGGATTTGGTGGTTGTTAGGCTGTGCAGTCAGCAAGCAAGGAATCTAGCTCTTGATGGGTTGTAGAGTCATTAACTGGGGTACTGCAATGAGAAAGAGATCAGAGTTTTCAGGGGAAGGCATATAATGAGTTAAGTATTGCATATGTTGGTTGGTAGGAAATCCAAGCGGAGGTGTCCAGCAGGCAGCTGAGTATTTGAGTCAGGCTGAGGAAGAGGATCTACATGACAAACATTTATTTTTATACACGGCATGTAGTCCAAAGGAAGATATTAAAAGAAACTGATTTTAGCAAATTCCACAGCAAAACTGCAACAACAAAAAAGCAATTTTAAATAGCAAGTGTGGAAGCACTTGAATAGTTTTAAAAGTAGGCACCTGAGCTAGTGTTTTAACAATCTTTCAACTTTCTTCTCACCTTCTTTACTCTGTTCCTACTTTCTGTTCCCTCCCTTCCCTCTTTCCCCTCTTTACGCATTTTATATTTTATTATTTTACATTTCATTTGTGATTTTATTTACTTTTAAGAGCTGAAGTCTCATTCTGTTACCCAGGCTGGAGTGCAGTGTTTTGATCAAAGCTCACTGCAGCCAAGTGCTCCTGGGCTTAAGTGATCCTCCCGCCTCAGCCTCCCAAATAGCTGGGACCACGACAGGCTATCTTTCGTATTTTCTGTAGAAACAGGGCCTTGCTATGTTGCCCAGGCTGGTCTTGAACTACTGGCCTCAAGTGATCCTCTTGCCTTGGCCTCCCAAAGTGCTGGGATTAAAGGCATGAGCCACCATACCTGATCTCTTTCTATATTTTAAGATAATATTTATGAAAGAGCTTACCATATACCAGATGTGGTGCAGCAGACATAACGATGAATAAAAACTGGATCCAAATACAATGGATTTGGCATATGCCCTCACGGACCTCAGTCTTATAGGAAAGACAGATATTAAACAAATGCTCAAAAATAATTGCTTAATTATCAACTGTTGGAAATCTTAAGGACAGGTGCATGGCTAAGCTATTCACACACAAGGGACCTTAAAGAAGGTTTCACTCATATAGTATTGATTTAACAGAGAATGATGAATAGGAAATTTTACTAATTGAAGGGGACTGGAAGAGCCTTCCAGGTAGACTTAGCATGTGCAAGAGCCCAGGGGCAGGGGAAAGCAACGAAGAACTGGAAGAAGGCCAGTGGGACTGGGGGGTCAGAGACAAAGGGGAACTTAATATAAATGAGTTAGAGAGGCAAGTGGGGTCAGCCCATGCAAGACCTTCTAGGCTCTAGGAAAAGTGTTGTCTTTCTTGAATGGTAAATAGGAAGCTATTGAACAATTTTAAGTAAGGAGTGATACGATCAGATTTGCATTTTAAAAATGTAACTCTGTTGTGTAAAGGACTGATGGGAGGCCTTCAGAATGGATGATGGGAAACCAACTGCAGTAACCTAGGAGAGATGACAGATTCATTCCACAGTGTGTGTGTGTGTGTGTGTGTGTGAGAGAGAGAGAGAGAGAGAGAGAGACAGAGAGAGAGAGAGTGAGAGTGTGTGTGTGTGTGTGTGTGTGTGTGTGTGTGTGTGTGTGTGTGGTTTCAGATGGAGTCTTTCTCTGTTGTCCAGGCTGGAGTGCAGTGGTGCGATCTTGGCTCATTGCAACCTCTGCCTCCCTGTTTTATGCAATTCACCACCTCAGCCTCCCGAGTAGCTGGGATTACAGGCATGTGCCACCATACCCAGCTAATTTTTTGTATTTTTGGTAGGGATGGGGTTTCACCATCTTGGCCAGGCTGGTCTTGAATTCCTGACCTCGTGATCCACCCGCCTCGGCCCCGCAAACTGCTGTGATTACAGGTGTGTGTCACCATGTCAGGCTGTATGTGTGCATGTGTGTTTAAGGAGGTAACATCTGTGGTGAATAGGCTATGGGTGAAAGAGACGGCTGCCAAGCGTGGGCATTTGTATTTGTCCAGCATGGATATTTGCCATAGTTGTAATGAAGACAGAGGTTTAGGGTCTTGTAGGAAAGCTACGGAAAAGAAGGATGGAGGAACTCAGTCAAATGGCTATTTGTGTCATCCTGGAACAACTTCCTTGCCCTCCAGGAACTTAGAATCTGCTCAGATGAGCCTAGTACACAAAAGCCAGCTCATTAACAGTACTTGTGATCAGATGAGTACAGGCTATAATGAGGGATACTGACACCATGTGATCTAGGAGTCAAGCGAAGAGAAGAGCCAGGGTGGGCCAGGTCAGGGAGTTCTTCCTGAAGGACAAAGCACAGAAAAGCAGCTTTCAAAATCCTTGCAACACATCCCTAAAATCCATATAGAAAACTGTGTTTGGTGTAACACTGGAAACAAGCATTTCTTATGCTCACATTAAATATCAATTATATTCATTTCATGACACTGTAACAAAAGCATATATATTCTGCTCTTGGCAAAGAATTGATGTCTACACATGTCAAAAATCATGCCTAGAAATTTCAGATATTTATTATTAGTTGATTCTTTCACTTTTTTTTTAAAATAAGACAGCAAGTTCCTATTTTAGAAGGAGAGTGGTAAATCAGAAATGTACAATTAATATTTAAGTAAACAGAAGTGGCTCTGGAGTCCCCTGCAAGTGGCTGTCGTGGGACGCCACCCAAGTTTACAGCTTTGCAAATGGGTTTTGTTCTCCCAGAGTGAGACATGGTGTACTTTCTGTCTTGGGCTTGAAGACCCACCGGCTGCCTGGACCTTGAAGGAGAAGTAAATACTGTTCCAAGACCACATCCTCAGCAATCCCTGAGGACACACTTGTAATCATGCAGTTAGAAAAATCTTTTTCTGCCATATTGTTAATATTGAGGGGGGACCAAGGGAAGTGGGCACACAGAAAGGGTGACTTTTGCCCTTTGCGGTGTACTTCTCCATCATTTGCATCTTAAAAATAATTCTATTATTGTAATTTTTAAAAAGGAAAAATGAATATTCTTTTACTTAAATAACACAGGATTACAATTCTCCCGGTTGAGGTTTATGAGAAAACAATCAGTTCCATATTCTGTAAAGGAACCCATCATCCATGCAAAGACAAAGGATGAAGCTTTCTCTTCAGTATGCTTTTTCAAAGTAAATGGTTATTTTAGCACAAGTTACCAGATGTTTTGAAAGGATCAGGGGTTATAGTGCCTGAATCCTTGGGGAGACCTACAGCTGCTAGTAATTGTATGGGGTTCAACTTTATGACCATTCTTCTATATGCCTTATTTAGGAGGGTAGCTATTAATGAAGAGGAGGCAGAGATGAGCAGCAGGGAATCTCGTGTGCTGACACAAATCCTGGAGAATTTCTACATGGAGACTTACAAAGAGAGATTCTTGACACTGTGTTTGTGCAGGTCACATGTCACATCCTCTTTTCCCAAGCCCAGGAAGGAAAAACATGAAATTTTGGCTAGCATTTGCTAACCGTTAATGGTACAAATTGTTGAACCATACGATAGAGCATCCTAAATAGCAAATGAGGCGGGAAATAGCAGCTTGTTAAATTCAATAGGAGGACACTTTAAGATCACATCGATCTTGTGGGCTCAGGTTCTTAATATGTGAAGTGACATCCCCAAAGGAGATATTGAATAAAATGAATAGAAAAATGTTGGTGACATATTGATAAAGTCTCATAGGCAGCTTGTCTTCTACTTGTTCCTCCAGATCCACTCTCTGCCCTTCTTCAACATGCTCTGTGCTCATTTAGAGGACTAGGGGCTCCCTGGCCCTCTGGCTTCCACACAGGGCTTTTGAAAAGCCCCAGCAGGGGACCATGGGGAAAGAAGGAAGAATTGGAGTACTTAACTCCCGACTGAGGAGTTGCCCAGGCTGGCTGTGTCTTTCTAATGCAGTCTTGGCTCCTGCCAGGGACCTCTTCATACACAAAACCTTGTGTTTGTCTCCAGGTCTGATAACCACCCTTACCCTTGCCTCTTCAGGCCTGGGGTGGTAAAAGCTCTCCAGTGCTACTGGCCCTGGAGTGCATCTGTTCCTGGTGGCTTCCCTGCATCCTGCCCATCCTTTGTAAATGTTCCCTTTATTCAATTATCCTCCAGTCACTCAATTTGAGTATGCCATGGTTTTCCTGCTAAGTCTCAGGCATACCATCAAAGGAAGCTCTTAACCAGGGTTCTGGTGTGCTGAAAGAAAGTTCTAGTGGACATCTGTCATTCTTTTTGCATCTTCTGTCACCCCAGCCCCCCATCTGCAGCGCCACCCAGTAACTGAGCTGAATCTGGGGATTTCCCACCTCATGAGTATGTTTGTATGTATGAATTTATCAGTGGGGTGGGGACAGGATCTCACTCTGTTGCCCAGGCTGGAGTGCAGTGGCACCATCACAGCTCACTACAGCCTCTACCTTCTGGGCTCAAGTGATCCTGCTTCAGCCTCCCCAGTAGCTCAGATCACAGGTGCATACCACCATGCCTGGATAATTTTTGTACTTTTTTCTTTCAGTAGAAATGGGGTCTCACTGTGTTGTCCATGCTGGTCTTGAAGTCCTGGCCTTAAGTGATCCCCTTGCTTCGACCTCCCAAAGTGCTAAGTGCCGGGATTACAGGTGTGAGCCACTATGGCCATGCCCAGTACCTCATGAGTCTTGATGAGGGGCAGAGACCAACAACTCCACAGAAGCCAGATGCCTGCTTTACCAGCCTCCCTTGCAGCTAGGGCTCAGACATGTGATACAGGCTCAGTCAATCAGATAGTGTTGACTCTTGGCATGACATGCGGTGAGGAGGGGCTGCAGGGAATCCATTTGGGCTGGGGTGGCAGCTGCACTGGGAGCCACATTCCTACTCAGAGGGAGCAGCAGAGTCTGGCATGAAGCTTGGGCTATGGGAGGTACAGCTAGAGTCTGCACCCAGCAGCAGTGGGAGAATGGGTTCTCTGTGGAGGGTCTTTGTATTGCTCCTTCCTCTGGGGCCACCAACATCTGTCTCCACGAACCTCTCAGAGCCTGTGGGCAACTCAACAGCCTTGAATTCTTTCTCTTCCTGCCTTAATGAACTAAGGTTGTTTTACTACTTGAAACAAAGAGCCATGCCTGATATAAAAACCAAGCCACATCTTTTTGACCCAAAGATTCTGGCATCCTCAAATATTCACCTCATTTTGAGTTAAAAATAAATCCATGTTTGAGCATCTACTCTGTTTCAGTTACTGTGCCAGGTGTTACAAAGCTAACTAAGAGTGACAAGTAAATAACTATCATCGCCATGATAAACAGAGAATGGAATCTTGGTTTTAGAAATACAAATACAAAATGATTAATTCTGCCTGGAAGGGGCTGGAACATTTCAAAGAGGTAGTGAGCTGGGCCAACGGAAGAGCATAGGCAAGGAATAGTGGTGTGAAATTGCCTGGCGTGTTGAGAGAAGAAAGATGGGCTCAGAAGGATTGCAGTAGGGCAGAGAAGGGGGTCACTGGAGGTGAGGCTGGGAAAGTGAGCCAAGGCTCGAATGCAAACTGAACTTCATTTTCTGTGCAAGCAGGAGAAGCTACTGACATGGGTTTGGAAAATGGATTGAAGGTGGGGGTGGGGGAGAATGGAGGCAAGAAACCCTCTCTCAAGAGGCTATAGCCACAGACAAAGCCATGAGATTGAAAAGGAAGGCAGATATTTGAGAAATATTTAAAGAGATCTGAGGGGTTGCTGCCCTGCGGGTGTGGAGAGCCGAGGAGAATTCAAAGATGGTCCTGAAGTCCCAGCTGGAAGAAGCAGGTGGTGGCAATGTTTCTAATAGAGGCAACTCATCACATAGCACAGGTTTGGGGTGGAGAGAGAAAAATGGCATGGGCTTTAGGCATGCCCAGATCTTTCCTCATCTTAGGCATTTACTAATACATGCATTTTCTAAGCTGATACCTTGCATTTATTGCTAGGTTGGAACATATAATTCTTTGGAAGGGCTAAAAGTCAGTTCTTTACATTCTCTCCATATGAACCTTCTATCCACACTAGGCTGGATCCACTTATTTAGTCCACTGCCAGTACCGCACTAGAACCTGGGCAGTCACTGGACTTCAGGAACAATGCTAGCCCTCTCTCTGTTCTGTCTGCTGTTGACTATCCCTGTTCCATTCCTGACCCTGATTTCTCCTGCCACGCTCAATTTTTTGAGAGCTGATGGCAAGCCATGGCTTCCCAAAACATTATTTTTAGGTCAACTTGTAAATTTCAAGAACATATTTGGCTCCGCTTCCTGTGATACTAAGCCTACTTCTTGACAGCATTTGCCTTTGTTGTAAATAGCAAAGTTCTTCTAGTTGAAGTGTGTGGATGTGGCATCTGATGACATCTTTAGTTTGGATTCTAAAAAGGCACTACCACTGTGCATTTGGCTAAAGGGAACACATTTTACCCATGAATGCCTTCCATTTACAAATGCTCAGCTAGCACACAAAGCAGAGGCAATGCAATAAGTACTATCCTACAATGTTACTCATTTCTGAAAGCACAAAATGATGACTGGTAAAGCTTTGGAGATGTTTTCTGGAAACCAAATAGAGGAACAGCTTTGTTATTCCACACCTACAACGTCAGAAGAGGCAGTCTTTTATTCATGTTTGAACATGCTTCCTTCTTGAACAATCATCTATAAAGTGATATGATTCTCTACTAGACCAGGAGCAATTTGAGGACAGAATCAGTTTCTAATCCATATTCTAAATCCACACTACCTGGCACAATGCATGTTACATGTTAGGGTCAAATAAGAGTTGGTTGAATCGATCAATAATACACAATAAGGGAATTCATAAAGAGAGGGGAGTAATTCCCTCAGCTTCAATCACTGGGCAAGTGGAATTGCTTGGGTACTGGTAGTGCCTGAGACAGAGCTGGCAACTATTGCATTGCGATGCAAACATTTCAAATGAACGGGAAACTAGACTCACGGATAAGCAGTGTAGTCATCAAGGCAACACCATCTTGGAGGTTTTTCTGAAGTTATAACCATGCTACATAAGCAATAAATTATGAAGGCTGAGCATGTGAATAAAATTTAATGTTGTCATAAATTTTACAGCAAAGTTAATCTGACATATTTAATGACATACATATCATTAGTGTGCAGCATTGTAATCAGACATTGATAATGAGCAGTTCACACCAGTGACTGTAAGTGTCTTTACTTGTGTTCAGCCAAACCAACTGCTTGGTATTATTTTCTCCCTTCTTAGTCATTAGTTTCCATACCTACAATAACCATCAGTGGTGCATTCAAGCTCCCCGAATACCAGCCTGTTGCAGGTAGCAGAGAGCTGCACTATAAGCCCAGGCTGCTCCCAAGAGCCACTCCATCTGCACTTGGGCCCCACGAAGGTGAAGGAATGCAATCATTGGAAGGATGGAGAATGTTCTCTGTATCACTGACAAGCTGGAAGGAGTGGAGGGCAAGAGTCCACCTGGTTCAAGCGGAGAGATGGAAAGAGCGAGAGAGCCTGGGCTGAGAAGGCCATTGCTCAAAAAAGGCAGCTTCAAATGCCAAATCTACAGCAATTGTATAGCCCAAACATCTCTGAGCAATAGGTCTCTGGTACTTTGGATGTCTAGACCAACAATTCCCAGTTCATTATTCTCAGGGAAGAAGCCAAGATATCCAGAGACTCTCATTCTGCTATTAAATTCTAATCTAAATTAGATTAAAAGGATTAGGCAAAACAGCCTTGGCGAAATCAGGAAGGCACATTCACACTAAAGTGAAAATGACTCACAGCTCTTTTGCTATTTTTGGGGTGGGGAGGTGCTTTAGAACATAAGGGGAACTAAAGAATATTCCTGTTAAATACAAGGCCGAGAAAAGGGAAACTAGGGGTGACCAAGACAAATCATCTCTTTTACCTTTGGTTGGCCCTGCCTATTACAGCTCCGGGGGTGAGGTGGGAACAAAAAGATGCTGTGTATTGAAGCATCTTATGCCATTCCTGCTGTAGTGGGGTGTAGTTTAGAGGGGTCACTGATCAAGCAGAGACCCACAGAGTGTTTTGTTCCAAGCTAGAAACAGAAATGTATAAAATACATCCTTTCCAGCAGCAGGAGAGAACCGAGCAGTGGTAGTGGAGACCTACACAAAACAGAAAAGAGGACCATGAGAGGTAGAGTAGCAAGACCCTACATCCCAGTGCCACTGCTCATGACTGTAATTTTGGGTAGGTCACTTAGAGTCTCTGGACTTCAGTTTTGCCATCGGTGAAATGGGGATAATACTATCCATCACAAAACTGGTTATGAGGCTCATCATGTAGGGCATGCCTGGGATGATGTATTGCTAATGGTTAAGAACACAGCTTCCAGGATCTGACTGAACAGGCTGAAATCCCTGCTCAACACGTTCCAGCAAGGCCCTGGGCGATCTATTTAACTTTTGTTTTCTCACCTGTAGGCCGAGACAAAAGTACTTACTTTATAAGATTATCCCAATGATTAGTTGTAATAATGCATGCAGAGAATAAAGCATGGTACTTGTTATTTGTTAGACTAGCTATTAAAATGTGTAAAATATAGAGTACTATATGGATTTTAGGATATTACAAAGACTCTTTTGATTGCCGCAATAGTTCTGGGCCCTTTCAGAAGGCTAAAGGCAGAATTTGTATATGTAAATGTGGTGTGCTAGTCTCTGCTCTGGATACAGAGGGCTTACTCTGTTATTAAACTTGCTTAGTAAATGTTGAACTGTCATGAGGCCTAACATTTAGTTCTAGTTACTAGATAAAACATCTGCTTTGAATAGTATTTGAATTGCCAGGTTCCAGGTTATTCTGGTTGACAAACTCTTCTTCGTATTTTACAAAGAGGCTAAAACCGGTATGCTATCACAGAATTGATGTGCCATTTTCAAGGTGTATTAAACCATGATTCACGATAACATTGCTCCTATTGGCAACAAATTCGGAGCAAACTGGACTTTATTTGGTGAAGAAACACTGAGTGGAAGAGAAAGGACATCATTTTAGGTATTTTCATTTTCAAATTACTGTGGTTTAAACCTGTTCAGCCATCATCACCCATCTTTGGTCTGCTAAATAAAGGATTCAGTACATTTCTCATTTACAGAAATTTTTTTAACAAAAGAAAACTGAATTTGATGGCCAAATCAACATTAAACATTATACACTTAAAAAACCACAGGCAAAGACACAAACATGATGGCACTAACTTTTGTTACAGTATGCTTACCTGTGGTCTCCTTTCAGCCATGTTCTTTCATGTTAAGCTTCCAACATAATGTGAAAATGAAGCTGATACATTTTGCAAAGCAAAGCATACCTTTCAAAATACTATACATCTCAAATTAACATTGTTACAGAGTCTTAAAATTTAATAAGTTCATTAGTTTAAAAGTTTGGATGTCTGAACCCTTCTATCCCAAAACAAGATCTCTGACAGACTTCCATAGCAGTGTAATACCAAGGTCACATGATCCTTTCTAAAATTACAAACATGAATACACCATATGAGGATAAACTCCATCTTTTTGAAAACATTCAGGAAAATGAGGTTAGTATTTATAAAATGAAACTGTCTTTGGGTGATATCCTAAGACATGTCAAGCCAATCAGCTTGTAACTGTAAAAAAAATATTGGTAGTAACAAAAGTTGAGTGGGAGAGGAACTTTCTGTTAAGTGATGGGAAAGAAACAGTAATGCCATATCTCAATAAAATGAGATTTAAAAATATTTAAAATACTAAATCACCGAACTGACAAAGAAATATAAATCATTCAGAAATAAACTCATTAGGTCATCAAATCCTGTTAAATCTCCAATTGGGAAGATGCAAGGTGTACAATCCATACATTTAAACTCATGGGCTCCCTTTGCACACTGTCAATTTACTCCTTAGCATGTTATTAATACACATTTTCCAAAGGATGTATTAGTAAATTGTACATATCTACTTCTTGGCACCATCATACAACATATGCACTCTTCTCATAGTTAAAACATGTGGATGGTTTGAAAATTAGAAAAATAACTGCCTATTATTATGTCATGGGCAGGCTTAAGGCACATGAATTTTATCTTCATACAAAAGATTAAAATCTAGATATTAAAAAGTAGTGCAGTATCAGTGACGCATTACCCCTCAGTTCTCAAAATGTCACATCACAAAAATATCCCGTAATTGCTTGTAGTTTATTCCTTGGCTTTCCTCTTTTTTCTCTGCATCTTTGTAACAATTTTTTAAAAGTGGAAATATAATTGTTGGCAATGCTAACAGCTGCAGAAATGATTACAAGGTGTGGAAAAGCCTAACGGGAACGTCAAGAATCTGTTTTTGGCAGTAAAACATATGGAACATCATTCAGGACAAGAGAGAAGATGAGAAAAAGGAGAGGGGTTTATCATCTTTAAGAATTTTCAAACTAAACCTCATTGCTTAAGAGGAAAAAAAGATTCCATATTTAAAGTTAAGTCACAGCTAACTACTAGCTAAAGCCTGATATCACCATCATTAGAGTCAGTGGAAATGTCTTTTTGAAGGATGGTGTTGCAGGAGAATCTGGACAGGTTTTTAGAGCCAGAAGATAGAAAACAATTCTACCTCTGTCAGTTGAAAGACCTTAGGCAAATCAGTTTACCTCTGCTAGATTACATGCCAAAGTTTGGACATTCAAAAATGTGATATTAATAACCACATGAGAGTCGCATGTTGAGGTGAATACGTATTTGTTGCTGAAAGATATGTTGGTTCTTAAAAAGACCACACTCTGCAAATGTAGGCTATTGTTTTTTGTCAGTTGTCAAATTCTATCCAGCTATATACACCTGTGTGGCCTCCTAATGGTGTCTTTCCAATGGTTAAAGGTTTATCAATAAGACAGTTTTTCTAATGGAATTAACCTGATCCTTTTCTTAAACATGTAACCTTGAGTTCACCTCACAAAAAGATACTTTGATTAGAGCAATGTACATAATAAAGGTTACCTGATTTCTTAAACACTACACATCATTCACAAAAAAGAGAACTGCTTTTGAAAGGAATGTATTTGCACTGAAAAGAAAAGTTTACTACTTCTAATTGTGAATGATTTATTGGTGAAAGCAAAGTAACAGCCTGTCTGAGAGGCACTTCTATGAGCTTCCTCACGTGTGATTTGCAAGGCTGAAAAAGAGGGAAAAATGCCTCGATGGTACCAGTGTTGATGGTACCAATGGTACCAAAACTACAAAGCAGGTTTCAAAAACCATGCTCATAACCAAGGACAATAATAAAGCAATACGTTGACATATATTCTACAAATTTTCCTCCATAAATAGTTTTTGCATTTTATAATTTCTGTGAATGCATCCTATAATAATTTTGCATCTTGCTTTTTTTTTTTACATTTAATATCAAATAGATTTTTAAAGGGCATTTGAAAGTTAAATACATATGGAAACATACATCAAATGGAAAAATGCAGTGGGTGATGGAGATATCATGAAGCGCCCCAAATATTTCTCATCTCATTGAACAGAAACAAACATGTTCTCATTTAGAATGAGTGGGAGTAAACAGATTTAGGCCTCTATATTTAACTTCTAGGCAAAACAGGTAGTCCCATCTAGCAACAATATTATGGGGAACAAAAGAAAAAAATAACTCTCTAAATTTGCAGTAGGGTTTTTTCTTTTGGAAGTTCCAAATCCCATCTATTATCAGCTCCATGCTTCAGGCCGAAAATGGATCTCCCTGAAGCAGTGACAGAATTTTTGCCAAGTGACTAGGATATATACACCATTTTATTTGCACAGTGAGACATATGCTCTAAAGAAAACTGGTTCAAAACAGGCAAGTGGGTTTCTACAGAATAAATGAGAGCCCTATCAATGGTTTCCTCTTCAGGGCTTTGTGTCTGCGCTTGCGTGGTGGCTCTTTGTTTCATCTATGGGTAATGGCGCCACACAGTTTTCATAATTCCTTACTCTAATGAACTGCTTTAAATTTGTTTTTGGTATTCCAGAGAGTCCTAACTTCAGCTTCTGGGCAATGCTGAGGAGGCACCCTATATTCTAGACTTACCTTTTGCAAGGTGTACTCTCAGCATTGTGGACGTTTTCCATGGGAGAATATTCTATTTAAAGAACTACTGTCCAAGCATAAAATAAAAAATCATCTATGAAGATGCAGGAGACTCGGAAAACTTTCAGTTATGTTTGCACAAGCACAATGTCAGAGCCTCCTTTCCCCACTCCACAGGGGGGTCAGGAAGAGAGTACTCACCTGTGAGAAAAGACATACAGAAGAATTCATGTAGTCATGGGAGCAAGGGCATGGTAGATCCTTCAAAAAGGATGTGTCAGACACTTCATGAGCCCAAGTGTGCTGTAGGGTCTGACGGGCAAGATGCTGGTTCACTGATGTAAAGGAGAGAGGGAAAAAGCTTCAACTAACTAGAAAAACAGTCTCTATGCATGCTATTTTTGATTTCAAACAAAGGTATCAATTCCTTCTCTCAGGGAGTACATTTTAAAATAGGACATATTTTAAAAAAATATTTAAAGGGCACATTAAAATTAAAAACTTTTCAAAAGACATAAAAGGTATGAATTTTCCTTAATCCTTGAGGAAAAGTTTCTTTTCTCATCCATGTAAATCATTGATTTTGTTTTCTTTATCTCCCCTGTTAATCTACATTGGAAAAATAAACTTTTTCTACACTAAGAGCAAGGAAACCACTCTCAGTTGACAAAATGTACTAATGCAACACAATGATTACCTTCACCTTTAATTTATAGGCAGCCAAATTCAAAATCCCTAAAGTGGCTTAAACTTAAAAAATGGCAATGACAACCTAAAAGGTATAATGTTGATTGGAACAGAGATTTAATTGGAAAATTGATAATTTTCCATTTTCAATTAAATCGCTAGATAGAAATTTAAAAAATTAAAAATCATATTTAAGAAAAGCCAAATATTGAGTTGTGAGGTATCTTTTTAAGGATGCTTCAGCAGAAAAAAACAAAGGCATTCACAATTGTGTAGCAGCCTGAATTAGGTGGGTACCCTGACCAAGGAGAAGGGGGATGATCTGGCTTTAGTATTCCAATGATAAAGTTTATAATGAGAATAACATGTTGCTATGAAATCTGGTCTCTTCCTCAGATGCCTTCCATAGAGGGCAGGAAGCTTTGTCAGTTTTGTTTGCTGATGATGCCTGATTCCGCCAACAAATAATATCTGTCACATGGTAGGTAGTCAATATACATTTGCTGAATATATATAGAAAAAAAAAAGAAATGTATGGTACGTTTGTGAAGCTGTGCCAACTATGTGTACATTGCTATTGAGGTACACGAAGAGTCTTTGTTTTAAATTTGAGAATGAGGGCTTTCAGTGGACTATATCTATAAAAATAAATGACAGACATTATTGTCTGGAATTTTGTACAGCAAGAGAAGAAAAACCACCAGCAAAGAGCCAACTCATCTGATAGGCCTGGATCAAGCATGTAGCCGTGGAGAACACCCTTGGGACTCTAACTCCGGCACTCCTGTGAACTGGGTACCTGGGCAGGAGGACAGTAGCAGCACTCATGAACTGGGCAGCATCTGTCAGTGAGGGCTGATTGCATGGATTCTCTCATCCCAGCCTTATAATCAGCCCATCAGGTAGATACATTTTCTGACTTTGCTGATAAGAAAACTATGCACAGAGTTATACAGCTTAACAAAGGGCTCTCAACTGATGAGCACTAACATGGGATTTTAGCCTTTATTTGCATCTGGTCTTAGAGCCAATACCCAAGAATCACTGCACTGAATGCCTTGTCTCAGAGAAACTTACACTTCCTGGGCCTCAGTCTTTAAAAGGTGAGCAGTTACTTAATAAAAATTAAGGATCAATGATTAAGGTTCAAGGCACTCCAGAATTCTGGTCTTTATTGAAAAGGCTATGGAAGCCTCACGTTAATAATACCCATCATCTTGATATTCTTGGTTCATTAAATATTGGAAACCAACTTCATAGTAATTGAGGTCAGAAAAAAGTACTCAGGACATTTTAAAATGTGGTGACAAAGCCGTAGATACATTTCAACGTACCCGTAATTACTTAAAACTGTTACAGCATGCAGTATGTTACCACAACAGCCAAAGAAATACTAATTCACTCAGCCTGTTTTTCTAGACCAGTAAACACTAGGATTAAATAGATATTTTCATTGAATTTATTCTAGCTTTCATTGCCATTTATAGATAGCTTACTTGTCAAAGATTACTTTCTAATTGTTTTATGTTTCCTAACTAGCCTGTAATACTTTGGTAAGGACCTCAAACAATAGTAGACAGTAGGCGTAAAATAGATGGTTACCCTGCATGTATAACTAAAAGGATGCCTCGTAAGTATCTATATCTTGAAATCTACTTTATTGTGTCTTGCTTTCAATCTGTGACTTTAAAATCTAGAAATCACCTATTTTATGTAATAACAATAAAATCCTTCTTTGTTGTAAACATGCACAAATAAAGTTTACAAGCTTAAAAAATTAAATAGGAACACTTTTACACTGTTCGTGGGAGTGTAAATTAGTTCAACCATTGTGGAAGACAGTGTGGCGATTCCTCAAGGACCTGGAAACAGAAATTCCTTTTGACCCAGCAATCCCATTACTGGGTATATATCCAAAGGATTATACTATTATAAGGACACATGCACATGTATGTTCATTGCAGCACCGTTTACAATAGCAAAGACTTGGAACCAACCCAAATGCTCAATGATGATAAACTGGACAGTGAAAATGTGGCACATATACACCATGGAATACTGTGCAGCCATAAAAAAAGATGAGTTTGTGTCCTTTGTAGGGACATGGATGAACCTGGAAACCATCATTCTCAGCAAACGGATGCAAGAACAACAAGAACAGAAAATCAAACACCGCGTGTTCTCACTCGTAGGCGGGTGTTGAACAATGAGAGCACATAGACACAGGGAGGGGAGCATCACACACTGGGATCTGTTGGGGGGACTAGGGGATGGACAGCGGGGGTAGGGAGTTGGGGAGGGATAACATGGGGAGTAATGCCAGATACAGGTGATGGGGATGGAGGCAGCAAACCACATTGCCATGTATGTGCCTATGCAACAATCCTGCATGTTCTTCACATGTACCCCAGAACCTAAATTAAATAGCAGTAATTGTCAAGCTTTCCAATAGTGAAACACATTTTGGTAAGGTTTTCATTTTACAAAAACTCAAAATGGCTTTATGAGTTCCCAAAATAATATGGCATTCCTTCAAAATATTAGCACATTCTTGTACTGTAAGAGCACAGAATAAAATTTACTTGGAGATTGAGCATTTGCTTAAGAAATACTGCTTTTAGTATTTTTACTTTAGTATTATGAAAGCTACAATTTACTTTAATATTATGAAAGCTATAATTACATTCAGATTTATTAACTATTCCAGTAGTTAATTTTTAAAACTTATGATGAAGTTTTGTTTAAAATATATAACTTTGGTAATATGAAAAGCTGAATTTGTAATAAAGAAGAGTTTGCATTTCTGATTTTTTTCTGATACACCAGTGATGAAATAACTATTGGTTCCACAGATGACAAAATGTCTCAAATCTGTTGGTTCTGAAGGTGAAGCGAGATTTTGTACTGATACTGTGTTCCCTGAGATGCCAGGAGGAAAAGGAATTAAACTCACATAGCTCAAATGGAGAGGTTTTAATGAAGGGACAACCTACAGAGGTGTTGGCAGGATCAGGGGGAATCAACAAGAGATGCTTAGAACCCGCAACTGGCAAACCTCCCCATGAAGATGGAGAGCGAGGAAGGAGTGTTACTGGAGTGAGAGCTTGAGCCCAGGGGAGGAGGATGGGCCATGGAGCAGGAGGCACTATCCTGAAAGAAGAATCCTCTGCCAGAGACTTTTCAGGGTCATTTCTTCACACTCTCTGCAGGGAAGCAGAGAGACAGCAGGAATAAATATCCTAACCTTGCTCTCTTCTCTCTGCTGGTGCCTTCCATTGGCCAAATCCACCCAGAGGCCAGTTGGTGGCAATTAGCTTCCAGGGGCAAGAGGAGGGAAGAGGAGGGCAGAGACTGGCTCAGGGGTGGGGGAGCACGCACATTAGGGGGCTCAGTTGTTCAAGTACCTGTCACTGAGGCCTGATGTGGGTGGGAAGACCAAGCTCCTCTGACCTAATTTCTAGAAATCTACTAGAAATAACATTTGGGGATATTTTCCACTTAATGAATTAAAAAAAAAAAAATCCCCTCTCTTAGCCCCATTTCCCATGCATTTTCCTCCCTTCAAGCTGTGTTTAAATTCCTTCTTTCATTTTCCTTCTGGTAACAAAGAAGTCTGTGGTTCAAAAGACTTTTCTCTAAGACTCCATCCTGTTAGTTCTCTGAGCTGTGGGAAGTACTTATACAATTGCCAGTGAATACAAGATCCAGGAAATTTCCTTAAGATCCCTAACAAAATTGCTGATAACCTGCCCCACATGTTAATCCAGCCACTCATGGATGACAACACTTACCATTTCTTTGATAAATGCCAAAAGCATTTCAAGTATATACCTGAAATATTTGTTTAAATGCTTTCTAACCTATTAATTCTATATATGTGTATGTGTCCGTTTTGTATACCTTCTGATTATAGGACAAATGTAAATAAATCCAAAGAATAATCAAAGCTACCATTTTCAAGAAGCTGTCTTTGTAGAACTAGAAGAGTCTTAAATAGGCTTTTCAGGTATGCATCTCTTCTTATCGCTAAACACCAAGTCCTGCAGGCCAGGCATCGTGTGGGTCATCTTTACAGTGGGCACAGGTCCTAAATCAGCGTCGGGTACATTGCAGGCACTCCATAAATGTTTGCTGAATTGGCTAAACCTTGGTTTGTCCCCATAATCAACCACTGCAAACAGCACACAGATAATTACTTCTTGGAAAGATTCCAACTAGTGTTTGATGTTACCTATGTGGTTTTCTCTCAAGAGCAGCTCTGTAGGATTACATTATTTTCTGTTTTTTTTTTCTTTGACCTTAATGTCATCTACTTCAATAACAGCTTCATACAAAATTTCTACCAGCACATACCACAGCAGATTCAAGGCCTTGTTTTAAAAATGGTGCCAGTAGCTCTTAATTTAGAATATATATAGTCTCTCCTGAACATGGGCTAAGAAAATGCATAACTTGGTAATAACAGAAGACCTGAAGACACTTTAAATATATTGTTTCATTTCTATAAGATAAAAAAAATTTAAGAATCAAGATGTTATCAACAGACCAGTCCTTAATTAAAAAGTAAAACTGCATTTTCCTACATCTTATAAAAGTGTTCAATTACAAACTATTTTGAAATGTAACTTTTAAAAATGTAAACAGCAAAAATGTTGTATTTAAAATGAATTTGAACAGGCAAAAAAAAAAGAAAAAAAAGATATACCCAGAAGATAAAGGTTTTGGTGAAAGTTAAAATACGATTTCATATTTGGACAACTTAGAATAATTCCTGCATTTTATAGTCTAGTTTAGGCATTGATTTGAAATAACCTTGAACCTTGAAATCCTAAATCTAACACTCTTCAGAACAAAGTAGCCTTTCTTTTCTGCTTTATGAGCAAATGTACTAAATACTAGGGAATGGTACTGTCTGGGCTTTTGAAACAAGACTGAAAGAGATGAAATCCTGTTTGATGTGTATAAACATTAGAGAATCCATTTTGAATTAATAAAAGGATAAATTTGTTCTATATCCTGTGAGAAAATGGTTCCCTTTTCCTGAAAATGTTCTCTCATTCCAACAACAGAGGGTTGGTTTTTTCCAGGGTGTGGTGTGGAGAGCGGGGGGTGGACAGAGTTGCCACGAATATGGCATCTATCAAGACGGCTGTTATATTCATTTCTCAAAATGCACTGTGGTAGGAAATTTAGAACGCAGTGAGAGAAAATAAACCTTTGACTTCAAAATAGGAGGCCACATTTAAAGCAGCAGGTAAAGTATAAACAGTAAGAGTATAAATTCTTTATCTGCAATCTTACAGTTCCCTAAATCTCTGTAACACATCACTTTAAAAGCCTCAGAGAAGTGGTTCTATAATTATTTGCCAATAATTCAACCCCTCAAAAGCCTTAGCAAGTTAAACCTTATAGTCTTACATTTTAGAAATGACCCAGCTTGATCCTTTTATTCTTCAGAATCTCTCTCTCAAATTTTCATTTGTTTTTCATTAATTGGTGAATAATGAGAAATTTTAGGTACCTTTCCACAAAGAAATGAAATTTTCACCTTACCAGGAACCTAACAAATGAAGAGATAGAAATCAATTCCAACAGAATATTACCAAAGAAATCTTTTAGAATAGACTGTTACAATTATTTATTTATATTTATCTGGCTCTACTGTTTGAGGTACATTTACACTTCAAAGCTAAACCTCAAATAACATCATAGTGATGTTTAGCTGTGGTCTTGAAGACCGAAAAAAATCATGACAAACACACATCTATTGTCTTGACTACTGTATCTGTCTTCATCACCATTCTGATAGTCTGCAGTGCATTGCAGCTCACCCTTTGGAAAGGACTAAAGGAGACATCTGTTGGTTCCACTTGCTCGACATCCCTCCCCTAATTTTCCTTCGGAGAACCCCTTTATTCTAGACCATGTGAAGCTAATGCCAAACCCCATTCCAGGGGATGCACCTGAATCCAACTTTGGTCATCTAAATAGTCTCTTCTCCATGTTCAGAGAAGAGCAAGTGACTTAAACTGCCCTCGTAAGAACAGACCTGGGACTTCTGCTGCAAATATTGAAGAATACGTATTCTTTTTTCTTTCTAGGACTAAGCTGGTAGTACGTTCTACGATGCTATCATATGTAAACAACTTGTCTGAGAATGAAGCCACAACTGTGAAACTGATCCTGGTAACCTTGATTGATAGATCCAGACCTACCTTAAATGGCAGGACCTAACTTGAGGCTTTTTGCATCAACCAAATAAAGTCCTTAAGCCAGTTTGAGTTGGTTTTGTCACTAGCAGCTAGCTAAAAGAATTCGGACTCTAACAATGTGACAATAGCAAAAATGAACATGACTGCTTTTGAGGTTTCTAATGGATTTTCCTTCCTATATACAGAATTTCATTTAATCCTCACAATTCAGAAAAGCACATGTCTATTAACATTAAATTAACATTCATTATTTTGAACACATACTATGTGGACAAGGGACAGGGAAAGCCAAGGGAGTAATCAATGTGAAATCTCACTTATATAGGAAGGAAGTGGAAGTTACTCACGGCGCTCAACAGATATCAACAAATGAAAGAATAAACAGTGTATGGGAGAGCCAGGAGGTGATACTTCACCAATTCCTGGATGAAAACTTAGGAGATGATGAACTCTGAACAGGCGGCCTAATGAGAATGGCTCAAGCAACAGGACACAGAAAGGGAGTTAGGTTAGACATGGAGTTCTAGAGTTTTCACCTCTGCGTGGGTGCAGCTGTTGTCCGTGGGGTAGGGAAAAAGGCAGGGAGGGAGGAGACTGTGAGTCAGTGAAACAGGGC